TACAGATACACGTGCTTGTTTGAGCATCTTTATTCATTATTGTCTCTCATGATCTAGTCACCAAGTCCTGTAGTTTGAACTAGCCCTGCCGTCATACTTTAAAGTACTTTTAGGGGGATCTGTACTTTACTATTTATATTTTTGACAACTTTTACATCACTACATTTAAAGAAAATAATGTACTTTTTACTCCATACATTTTCCCTGACACACAAAAGTAAATCGTTACATGTTTTATGCTTAGCAGGACAAGAAAATGGTCAAATTCATGCACTTATCAAGAGAACATCCCTGGTCATCCCTACTACATCTCATCTGGCGGATTCACTAAACACAGATGCTTCATTTGTAAATTATGTCCAAGTGTTGGAGAGTGCCCCTGGATAACAAGAAAATGGTGCCGCCTTTGAGGGTTTTATCTAACAGAGTCTAGTGCATTTTAGAGATAAAGCATACCAACTACAGATACACGTGCATGTTTGAGCACCTCGAAGACTAAATTCAATGTAGAATCAATTTAACAGGTTACTATTGTAACATGCACTGAGGAGAATTATATTGCCCCCATCAGGAGCCCAGGCTTTTACCATAGATGGAAGAGTTCTCATTTCTGGACCGCACAAGCATTTAGATTGCATTCTGCTAAGGCACTTTTCTCTCTACATCGGTCAGCTACATTGGTGACCGGGTGGGATCCTTTCAATAGGCCTATGGGTCCTGGGCACACAAATGCTCCTAGAGAGAAGGGGGAATACTGAAGCACGTGTTGATGACAGTTCTACAGTCTCCATCAGAGGCCCAGGCATTTGGCATAGCTCTCATTTCTGGACTGAAACATTGTAAGATTGTCCCGCCTTCACGGGAGCTTTCTGAGCCTGTGTAGGGACCTGATTAGAACAGAAAGGTAGGCTGATTTAGTTTAAATTTCGTTATTGATTGTTTGTATTATTAGGTTTTACCCTGCATGTTTAACTTTTTGTGAACTTTATTATTCACCTGTACGTTACCCCTCGTGATGAAGACAGCCAATGGCCTGTTTCTATGAGAGTTCTGATTGGTTCCAAGTTTAGCAGTTCGGCAAATTTGCCTGAGCAGACGTTGTTGAAATACACATTTTATGAGAGAATGTGCAATAATTTAAGGTCCCAACAAATGCTACAGTCATCATAAGAATGTTTTAATGTCATATACAAAAATCAGCTCATCCCTCTAAGGGGATCGATCAACATCACGTTTTTCGGCTTCGGCCCACCACATAACGTTACCTAATAGCTTTTGCTAGCTAGTGAGACAGTTGATTTTGGCTAGCTAGCTCTACCTAGGCAGGAGCTAATCCTTTGTTAGGTAACTCCATTCACTTGCTGTGCACAGCTGGCTAGCTAGCACAGATTCTAGTAACTTACATTTCAACATGTTGACTCAAAAGCTGCACTGACAGATAACGTTAAGCTAACTAACTAACGTGAGGACTACCCAGTCTAGCTAGCAGTGCTGCTTCATTAGCAACGTAGCACACATTTTGACAGTACATGTATTGATTAGCTATCTGGACACTGAATCCAACTGCTGGACCTCTGTTCACCACCCGACAAAGTAACACTAACTAACCAATTCACGTTACTGTCTAATCAAGTACTGTCCAAATATGTTAAAAATCACTAATAAAGATAGCTAGCTAACTTAAGGCTAACATGACGATAGCTACTTTTGGTAACATCAGCTCAATTAGCAATCTATCTGTTGAAAAAACAAAGCTAGATAGCAGAGTTAACATTTTTTTTCCAATTTATAGAATATGGACATACGGAATTAAAGATGCAGCTCATCAAACACAGAGACTGAATGCATTGTGTGTGTTTACAATACAATTATTTACCATCTAGCTACATAGATGGGTTGGCTGACAACGTCACGAAAACGATGTGAGCGTTTCCATGTGGCATAAATCAGCCTGTTGTGTTTCTGGATGGCCAGATTGCTAGCAAGAGTGACACTGCCATGTGGGGAATCATAAGTGGCTTTTTTCAGCATGTTTCATAATGTTATTGATACCATGTCTTGTTTTGAGGTGTTTTGACTGATTTAATGTCAATGCAAATATGGCTAAAATTCGCTAGCTAGCTAACCAACAACTGTAACAATGTATTTGAAACAACAAGTGGTCATTGTGCAAATGTATTTGTTTTCATTAAACATTGGAGACTAAATATAGCTTACATGTTAACAATCTAAGCCAACTTAATCTGTTTTGCCCCATGGTTGCACACATTTCGATTTTGTTGCTAATGCGACAGAGAGAACACATGTATTGTGGTTAGTGAAGGGTAAAACAGTTGAACGTTAATCAGGTTTAAGATTGAGTGAACTGCTAATATGAAGGAACAGAAATTATCCCAGATTTTACCTTTAGCACAATTCAGGTAAACATTATTTGCCTGTTGTTCATATTGTGTGTGCGTATATTGCTTGTGTGTGTGTTTGTTCAGAATACTCCATATTGCTACGGCACTGATACTATGCCATCTGTAATAATATAGGAGATCCAGGAAAGCAGAACTTCAGACAGCAAGGAAGAGAGGGGAGCAGACAGGACAGAGAGAGAATACAGGAGAACATAGAGGGGAGGCCCACACAAGACAAACATGGCATATTCCTCTCAAGCCAGAGAAAGTAGTCCTCGCTAAACATTACCTCTCAAAAAAAGAAAGATGCCACTTCTGACATGTCCTGTTTGTATAAATTGTTAGACCCTGACATGTTCCCATCACTGAAGGCAATCATGCAGGCCGCGCTGACCATCCCAGTTAGCAGCTCTGAGAGATCGTTCAGTACATGACCACGTCTACATACCTGGCTTAGAAGCCCAATGACCCAAGATCGAATGCGTCATGACAATTGACAATGATATACATACTAACACGCTTGGGAAAGAATGAAGTCATAGACAGGTTTGCACCTACAGTTTCATTTTGTTTAATTTCTCATCTTTATGGATGGACTAACATCCTAGTACTGTGTAATTTAACTTGCAAACATTGTGAATATTTAGTTGGAGAAAGGATTGTATGCTGGTATGTACATGTGTGTAAAATTATAAAGTGTTACTACAGGGGTGTATTTGTTTTTATTGTAATTAATTAGGTAGAAATATTGTCCTGTAGCTAATTGCGGTCCTCTGTAGCTCAGCTGGTAGAGCACGGCGCTTGTAACACCAAGGTAGTGGGTTCGATCCCCGGGACCACCCATGCACAAAAATGTATGCACGCATGACTGTAAGTCGCTTTGGATAAAAGCGTCTGCTAAATGGCTTATTATTATTAATTATATTATAATTGACCTTGGAATCTTTTATTTATTACCACAAATATTATAAGATCATGATTTTCAAGCATGTTTGGTGTGTGCGTTTGTACATAAATTCTCTCCCCCATCACCAACCACCCTACTCTACAGTTATAATGAGAGACTGGAAAACAGCCTCTATCTCAAGGCCATCAGACTGTTAAACAGCCTCTATCTCAAGGCCATCAGACTGATAAACAGCCATCACTAGCACATTAGAGGCTGCTGCCTATAGACAGACTAGAAATCACTGGCCACTTTAAGAAATAGAACACTAGCCACTTTAATAATGTTAACACCCGCAATAACATTAGCTAAACACGTGTATGTGACCAATACAATTTGATTTGATTGAATACAAGCCTACTGCTAATGTGAGTTTATGCCGTTCCAACATGATCCAGAGGATGGCAGCCTAAAATCCCAATCCTGCTATATTGCACGTAACGAGAACATTTTTTCATGCAAAGCATTAATTTGTGGTTTAGGCTGCCACCATTTGGGTTATTTTGGAACTGCACAGCGCGCGCAGCATGACTAGATCACATTAGTTAGCGGTAATGTGACCAACATCAACATGAGGCTTTTTTTTATGCCAATCCAATATTTGACAGTGTTTATGAATACATTGCAAGAAAATTAGAAATACTTTTTCCAACAATTTTTCTTCATGGAAAATTACGATATAGTTATGCACTTGTAATTTGTAGTTGCTAATAGATTAAAAAATATATCTTATTGACACCATATTCAATAATAATATGCCATTTAGCAGACGCTTTTATCCAAATTGACTTACAGTCATGTGTGCATACATTTTTACGTATGGGTGGTCCCGAGGATCGAACCCACTACCCTGGCTTTACAAGCGCCATGCTCTACCAATTGAGCTACAGAGGACCACGGTCCCATAGGTTTACTGACCACAATCCATTGAATTAATATCAAGAAGTGTACATTATTTGGCGTCAGGAGAGCCCCCCCCCCCCAAAAAAAAATTGTTTCTGTCTGTTGCAAAACACAACAGAAACCGGTTACTCCAAACGGAAAATGTTTTCCAACGGTAGGTCCCTCCCCGATTCGTCCCGTTCTCTGTTTGCTTCCGTTTGGTTCTTAAAAAACGATAAACTGTAATGAATACGCCCTGGCCCGAAAATAAAATTAGAGCAGAAGCGTTGGAGGTCCAGCTGTGTTGCATGATTTTGTTTATCTCTTGATTTTTAGTGTCGATTTTTGATGCCTTTGTAAAATTAGCCTTAATCAACACTAGACAGATTCTGCTAATCTAGGCTTCTCTTTTATTAGGATTGTATATTATATTAGTTTTAGGCCTGGGCCTACAGTACCTGCTTGCTGAATGAACCTGCTTGGGCTATTCTCCTTCAATCACTACCGATTGGTGTCCACCAGGAGGCAGGACGTCCGCTTACAAGGGTAACATTATAAAACCTCTGGCAGGGCTGAAAAGAAACAAAGGAATATCCTCCACTCACGGGAACTGCAGATTTCTCCTTTTCTAAATCCGAAGTCCGAGGCATAGCATGTCTTCCCTTCGCCATTTTGTTCTTTTAAGATAAATCGTATTTTGTTTCAAGTTAAACAAATTCATTTTTTAAATATTTTTTTCAAACTTTCGATTATAAAGTTCCCGATTAGAAATGGATGTTCAGAAGTATTTGCTACGCATTGGGTACGCGGGACCAGCTTTGCCAACGCCGACCCTGGACGCGCTCCAGCGTGTACACTGCTGTCAACTGAGGACTGTCCCGTTCGAGAACCTCACCATCCACAGCGGGGGGCGCGTCCGACTCGACCTCCCGCACCTCTATGATAAAATTGTTAACCACCGCCGCGGAGGGTTCTGCTTCGAGAATAACGGGCTGTTCTCCTGGTTTCTGTCAGAAATGGGATTCGAGGTCACCATCCTAGCGGGACAGGTGAGAAACGCCATCACAGGGCGGTATGGCCCGCCGAACGACCACTTAATCTCAATGGTGACGCTCGAGGGGCACCGGTGGCTGAGTGACGTGGGATTTGGTGGGTCAGGGTTCGAGTTCCCCATGTCCTTAGAGACTGAAGAACCCCAGAAGCAGGGCCACAGAGTGTACAGGATCAGACAAGAGGGAGAGATGCGCTTTCTGGAGTGGCAAGATGAAGAGAAGAGAGAAACTGGGCTCTGGACTGAGCTATACAAGTTCACTCTGGATACACGCTGCAGAGAAGACTTCATAGAGATGTGTGACTACCATCAGAGCTCCCCTAGCTCCATCTTCTTCTGTAAGTCTCTCTGCTCCATCCTGAAGCCCACCGGGAGGCTCACCTACATGGGCCACAGACTCATCACCACCAAGTTTCCCTCAGAGGAAGGAGGGAATGTGACTAAAACGACCAGAGAGCTGACTGAGGAAGAGATTCCCGACATACTAAAGGAGGAGTTCGGAATCGTGCTGGAATCTCCACTTGTCCCAAAGGATGAAGCTATCACACCACCCCCCATCATGTATTAAGTATTTTTTCATGAAAAACAACAAGACAGAAACAAATTGTCTGTTTGATTTAATAAATTAATATACATACACTTAAGATGTACAATGGTCATTGCATTAATCAAAATCTGTCCAATTTCAGACAAGTCTGCGTCCAAAGTATTTACACATGTACAATTCTCAGGTTGCACTTAACACTTAGCAAGGCATGAACATGACTGAGAGGGGGGGAAGGAGAGAGAGAGAAGGAGAGCGGGAGGGAGGGAAGAAGGAGAGCGTGAGGGAGAGGAGGGAGAGGGAGAGGGAGGGAGGGAGGAGAGCTGGCGGGAGGAGGTGGAGGGAGCGGACGGGAGGAAGAGCGGGAGGGAGGGAGGAGGAGAGCGGGAGGGAAGAAGAGGGAAGAAGGAGAGCGGGGGAGGAAGAAGAAGGAGAGCCGGGAGGGAGGGAGGGGAGGGAAGACAAAGGAAGAGGCGGGAGGGAGGGAGGGACGGGAAGGAAGGAGGCGGGAGGGAGGGAGGGAGGGTGAAGAAGGAGAGCGGGGAGGGAGCGGAAGAAGGAGACGGGAGGGGGGAAGAAGGAGAGGCGGGAGGGCGGGAAGAAAGAAGGAGAGCGGGAGGTGGAGGAGAGGGAGAGGGAGAGGGAGAGAGAGGGGTGGTTTCCAAAAGCAAACTTGACTACTCTGGGATTGAGTTAGGGGGCAGGACAGAGCTGGTTCCCCTAGCCTTGCGTTCGTAGTTGACAAGCCGCTGGCCAACCAGGTACCTGCAGGAAGGCAAAGAGGGCACATGGGAAAAAATAGTCACATGTCAAATCACAATACTAGAGCATTTACCTAGTTTGTGTGTCAGCTGCAGATCAAGACCTTGAATAGTTAAATCAGGTATGGTAGTGCTGGGCTGGAAAAAAAGCCAGCATATCCTGAAGCTCCCCAGGACCAGGGTTGTACTATCCCTGTACAAGGAGCTCTGAATGAACATGCCAGGTACGGAGATAGGGGTGGGTGCTTACTTATCGTTCTTGATGTGTTCGTAAAGGCGTTTGAACTGTCGTATCTGGAAGGACAGGATGCCAATGATGGACACCACCATCAGGAGGAATGGGTAGATCCTCCTCTGTATCAGAATCTGCATCTCTGGAGTCACACCTGACACACCTGACAGACCTGACACACCAGGAGGATATAGAGCTATTAACAGAGTTATCTCTGGAGTCACACCTCACACACCAGGAGGATATAGAGCTATTAACAGAGTTATCTCTGGAGTCACACCTCACACACCAGGAGGATATAGAGCTATTAACAGAGTTATCTCTGGAGTCACACCAGGAGGGTTATACAGTGGGGGAAAAAGTATTTAGTCAGCCACCAATTGTGCAAGTTCTCCCACTTAAAAAGATGAGAGAGGCCTGTAATTTTCATCATAGGTACACGTCAACTATGACAGACAAATTGAGAAGAAAAAAAAATATCCAGAAAATCACATTGTAGGATTTTTAATGAATTTATTTGCAAATTATGGTGGAAAATAAGTATTTGGTCACCTACAAACAAGCAAGATTTCTGGCTCTCACAGACCTGTAACTTCTTCTTTAAGAGGCTCCTCTGTCCTCCACGCATTACCTGTATTAATGGCACCTGTTTGAACTTGTTATCAGTATAAAAGACACCTGTCCACAACCTCAAACAGTCACACTCCAAACTCCACTATGGCCAAGACCAAAGAGCTGTCAAAGGACACCAGAAACAAAATTGTAGACCTGCACCAGGCTGGGAAGACTGAATCTGCAATAGGTAAGCAGCTTGGTTTGAAGAAATCAACTGTGGGAGCAATTATTAGGAAATGGAAGACATACAAGACCACTGATAATCTCCCTCGATCTGGGGCTCCACGCAAGATCTCACCCCGTGGGGTCAAAATGATCACAAGAATGGTGAGCAAAAATCCCAGAACCACACGGGGGGACCTAGTGAATGACCTGCAGAGAGCTGGGACCAAAGTAACAAAGCCTACCATCAGTAACACACTACGCCGCCAGGGACTCAAATCCTGCAGTGCCAGACGTGTCCCCCTGCTTAAGCCAGTACATGTCCAGGCCCGTCTGAAGTTTGCTAGAGTGCATTTGGATGATCCAGAAGAGGATTGGGAGAATGTCATATGGTCAGATGAAACCAAAATATAACTTTTTGGTAAAAACTCAACTCGTCGTGTTTGGAGGACAAAGAATGCTGAGTTGCATCCAAAGAACACCATACCTACTGTGAAGCAAGGGGGTGGAAACATCATGCTTTGGGGCTGTTTTTTCTGCAAAGGGACCAGGACGACTGATCCGTGTAAAGGAAAGAATGAATGGGGCCATGTATCGTGAGATTTTGAGTGAAAACCTCCTTCCATCAGCAAGGGCATTGAAGATGAAACGTGGCTGGGTCTTTCAGCATGACAATGATCCCAAACACACCGCCCAGGCAACGAAGGAGTGGCTTCGTAAGAAGCATTTCAAGGTCCTGGAGTGGCCTACCCAGTCTCCAGATCTCAACCCCATAGAAAATCTTTGGAGGGAGTTGAAAGTCTGTGTTGCCCAGCGACAGCCCCAAAACATCACTGCTCTAGAGGAGATCTGCATGGAGGAATGGGCCAAAATACCAGCAACAGTGTGTGAAAACCTTGTGAAGACTTACAGAAAACGTTTGACCTGTGTCATTGCCAACAAAGGGTATATAACAAAGTATTGAGAAACTTTTGTTATTGACCAAATACTTATTTTTCCACCATAATTTGCAAATAAATTCATTAGAAATCCTACAATGTGATTCTCTGGATTTTTTTTCTCTCATTTTGTCTGTCATAGTTGACGTGTACCTATGATGAAAATTACAGGCCTCTCTCATCTTTTTAAGTGGGAGAACTTGCACAATTGGTGGCTGACTAAATACTTTTTTCCCCCACTGTAGAGCCATTAACAGAGTTATCTCTGGAGTCTCACCAGGAGGGTTATAGAGCTATTAACAGAGTTATCTCTGGAGTCTCACCAGGAGGGTTATAGAGCTATTAACAGAGTTATCTCTGGAGTCTCACCAGGAGGGGTATAGAGCTATTAGCAGAGTTATCTCTGGAGTCTCACCAGGAGGTTTATAGAGCTATTAGCAGAGCCAATAGAGCTAAACACGTCATACCACCCACACGTGTGCATGCAAACACTTCCCATAAACATGCACGCATGCAAACAAACACACGCACACTGCTGACTTACCTACGGCAGGTACGACCCCGGCTGCTATGACGTAGGGGACACAGAGGGACAGCAGCAGCACTGAGATGACAGGGGCAGCCAGCTTACAGATGATGAAATGGAGGTCGATGTTCCTGATGCCGTTAGCATACACCTGACAGGAGGAGAGGTGGCAATGTTATCCCTCACGGGTCACTTTACACAAGGTCAAACGCTGTATTGTTCACGTAGGGGGAAGAGAAAAATGTCTAATTCGCTTCCATTCCACAGGTTCAATTACCGGTAGTCAGAAAGGAAAGAGTTGGTCAAACTTAAGTGTGAGATTGATAATAGTAGTTCTATATTAGGTTAAGGGATAATGACGTGGTGTAGGGTAACACACCTGTTCTATGACAGTCTTCAGCCACCACTGTGGACCCATGAGGGTGATGGCAGCGATGATTTTGGCATGGAGTACCCCCAGAGCCCAGTCCTACACACACACAAAAGATACCATATTAAAAAAAAACTGTGATCTTTACTATTGAACGCACACACACACACACACACACACACAGTGTACCTGCCAGGGGTAGAGGAGAGGCGTCTGGTCCAGAGGAACGCGTAGGGGAGCCACGATGACCAGTTCAAACAGCAGGCCCAGCAGTAGAGGGATAACACCAGCCACTAGCAACGCTACTACCAGTGTCTTCAGGATCTACACACACACACAAAAAGGTAAGACGTGATTGGATGTTGAAATATAAATGATCTTGGCATGGCCATCCACCTCCATAACTATTACAGCCTACTACAGTGTATCTTCGTCCATATACAGTTCCGGCAGAGTGGATTTGGTATTTATTAGGATCCCCATTAGCCGCTGCAAAAGCATCAGCTACTCTTCCTCGGGTCCACATGAAACATTACGTAATACATAGTACAGAACATTATTAGTCAAGGACTGAAACACAATCTAAAACGTCACACAGTCTACATATGAGTACATACACATAATATCTAGGTCTAATACATAGTACAGTGCAAATTACAATATAGCATATATAAAATGGCTGTTTCTCTTCACAGTCCCCTTTGTGCAGTAAGGTAAGTTTTGTGGGGGTTTTTTAAACTGGTTTTATTGCTAGCTTGAGTTACCTGGGGTGGCAGAGTTCCATGTAGTCATGGCTCTATTTAAAACTGTGTTTCCCAGCCTCTGTTCTGGACCTGGGGACTGTGAAGAGACCTCTTGGTTGCATGTCTTGTGTTGTACCGATGAGTGTCCGAACGGTGTTGCAACTGCTTGAACAGACCGTTCGGTACCTTCAACACATCAATACCTTGCACAAAGACCAATAGTGATGCAGTCAATCTCTCCTCAACTTTGAGCCAGGAGAGACTGACATGCATGTTACTGATACAGTTGAAGTTGGAAGTTTACATACCCCTTAGCCAAATACATTTAAACTCAGTTTTTCACAATTCCTGACATTTAATCCTAGTAAAAATTCCCTGTCTTAGGTCAGTTAGGATCACCACTTTATTTTAAGAATGTGAAATGTCAGAATAATTGTAGAGAGAATGATTTATTTCAGCTTTTATTTATTTCATCACATTCCCAGTGGGTCACAAGTTTACATATACTCAATTAGTATTTGGTAGCATTGCCTTTAAATTGTTTAACTTGAGTCAAACGTTTCGGGTAGCCTTCCACAAGCTTCCTACAATAAGTTGGGTGAAATTTGGCCCATTCCTCCTGACAGAGCTGGTGTAACTGAGTCACGTTTGTAGGCCTCCTTGCTTGCACACGCTTTTTCAGTTCTGCCCACAAATGTTCTATAGGACTGAGGTCAGGGCTTTGTGATGGCCACTCCAATACCTTGACTTTGTTGTCCTTAAGCCATTTTGCCACAACTTTGGAAGTATGCTTGGGGTCATTGTCCACTTGGAATACCCATGAGACCAAGCTTTAACTTCCTGACTGATGTCTTGAGATGTTGCTTCAATATATCCATAATTAATCCTTCCTCATGATGCCATCTATTTTGTGAAATGCACCAGTCCCTCCTGCAGCAAAGCACCCCCACTGCATGATGCTGCCACCCCCGTGCTTCACGGTTGGGATAGTGTTCTTCGGCTTGCAAGCGACCCCCTTTTCCCTCCAAACATAATGATGGTCATTATGGCCAAACAGTTCTATTTTTGTTTCATCAGACCAGAGGACATTTCTCCAAAAAGTACGATCTTTGTCCCCATGTGCAGTTGCAAACCGTAGTCTGGCTTTTTTATGGCGGTTTTGGAGCAGTGGCTTCTTCCTTGCTGAGCGGCCTTTCAGGTTATGTCGATATAGGACTCTTTTTACTGTGGATATAGATACTTTTGTACCCGTTTCCTCCAGCATCTTCACAAGGTCCTTTGCTGTTGTTCTGGGATTTATTTGCACTTTTCGCACCAAAGTACGTTCATCTCTAGGAGACAGAACGCGTCTCCTTCCTGAGTGGTGTGACGGCTGCGTGGTCCTATGGTGTTTATACTTGCGTACTATTGTTTGTACAGATGAACGTGGTACCTTCAGGCGTTTGGAAATTGCTCTCAAGGATGAACCAGGCTTGTGGAGGTCTACAATTTGTTTTCTGAGGTCTTGGCTGATTTCTTTTGATTTTCCCATGATATCAAGCAAAGAGGCACTGAGTTTGAAGGTAGGCCTTGAAATACATCCAGTGTGTACACCTCCAATTGACTCAAATTATGTCAATTAGCCTATCAGAAGCTTCTAAAGCCATGATGTCATTTTCTGGAATTTTCCAAGCTATTTAAAGGCACAGTCAACTTAGTGTATGTAAAAAACTTCTGACCCACTGGAATTGTGATACAGTGAATTATATGTGAAACAATCTGTCTGTAAACAATTGTTGGAAAAATGACTTGTGTCATGCACAAAGTAGATGTCCTAACCAACTTGCCAAAACTATAGTTTGTTAACATGAAATTTGTGGAGTGCTTGAAAAACGAGTTTTAATGACTCCAACCTAAGTGTATGTAAACTTCCGACTTCAACTATACTTTCCCTCCGTGTACATCTAAGTGCGATACGTGCTGCTTTGTTCTGGAACAATTGCAATTGACCCATGTCCTTTGCCGCACATGACCACACAGCTAGGGCAGTAGTCAAGGTGTGACAAAACTACGGCCTGTAGGACCTGTCTGGTCGACTGAGATGTCAAGAAGGCAGAGCAACGCCCTATCATGGACAGACCTCTTCCCATTTGAGCAACCATTGAGCCTATAAGTTTTGACCACGAAAGCTTGCTATCTAGGGTTACACCCAGCAGTTTAGTCTCCTAACTTGCTCAATAGCCACATTATTCAATAATATATCTAAATTAGGTTTAGCGTTGAGCGAGTGATTTGTCCCAAAAATAATGCTTTTAGTTTGAGATATTTAGCACCAGCTTATTGCTAGTTTCCCATTCTAAAACTGACTGGAGCTCTATGTTAAATGTCTCAGTTATTTATTTTACTGTTGCAGCCGACGTGTTTACTGTTGAGTCATCAGCCTACATAGACACACAGGCTTTATTCAAGTTCAGTGGAAGGTAATTTGTAAAAACAGAAAACAATAATGGCCCTAGCCGGCTGCCCTGCGGTACACCACACTCAACTGAATTTGCATGAGAGAGGCTTCCATTAACGAAAACCCTATATATATATTTTTTGTCATTTAACAGAAGCTCTTATCCAGAGCGACTTAAAGTTAAGTGAGTGCATACATTTTCATACTGGCCCCCGGTGGGAAACGAACCCACAACCCTGGCGTTGCAAGCACCATACTCTACCAACTGAGCTACAGGGGACTACATAATACATAATAGTATAACTAATAGATAATATAGTATAACTAATACATCTACTCTTACCATGAGGCTCCACTCCTGGACTTTGATCATGATGATGGTGCGTCCCTGGGGCATCCAGGCCAGTAGAACGGTGGCACCGCGGATGGACAGCCAGCACACGTACAGACCACACGCCGCTGTATACAGCTCATGGATCTTAGAGCTGCCTGTCCAGAACGACATCAGCCAACGGCCCGCAAACACTTCAACACATTAAAAACATAACGATGGCCTTTAGTGTCCTTTCGAGACATTCAGGTTAGTCATTCCAGGTGAGATTCCTGAAGAAGTACTCCAGTATTGAGATCAACAAAGTCCACTTTTTTCAGCTCAGTTCAATTAGATTTAAAACAATACTGCGAAGGTGTGTCGATAGATGAGAGCGAGAGTACGGTCAGTGTTGGGGAAGCTACTCTGAAAATATAGTTCACCAAGCTACCAATTACTTCACACTGGAAGAAGTTAAGCTACCCTTAAGAAAAATACAGTTTACTTAACCAAAGTTAATTTGAAAAAGTAGTTCACTACATCCAAACTACTTCGTGATAAATTATCATATCTAAACATATCACTATGGAGTCAGATGTTAACAGAATGTGTAATTTAGCCTATTAAAACACAAAAAAATATGTTTCAAGTGAGAATTAGGCCGGTCTAATGCAGAAAAAGAAAGGAAATTCTTGACTATTTTACCCATATTTTATTTCAGCAAAAAAAGTAGTGTATAGTTCCTGTTGTTAGCTACACTGCTATATGGCAAGTTAGTTAAGAACAATTTCTTATTCACAATGACGGCCTACACCGACCAAACCCGGACGACGCTGGGCCAATTGTGCGCCGCCCCATGGGACTCCCAATCACGGCCAGTTGTGATACAGCCTGGAATCGAACCAGGGGGTCTGTAGTGACGCCTCAAGCACGGAGATGCAGCCTTAGACCGCTGCGCCACTCGGGAGCCAATTACTGAAAACACTACCAAGATTTCAGTGGAGGCTGGTGGGAGGAGCTATAGGAGGACGGGGTCATTGTAATGGCTGGAATGCGATCAATGGAACGGAGTCAAACGTGGTTTCCATTTCTTTGCTGTGTTTGATAATGTTCCATTTATTCAATTCCAGCCATTACAGTGAGCCCGTCCTCCTATAGCTCCTTCCACCAGCCTCCACTGCAATATTTGAATTTATTTCAACGACCACCAAGCTACTGCAAAATCTAGTTAAATTACCAGTTGAACTACATGTAGTTCACTACTCCCCAACAGTGACTAAGGTTGATGTCTCACCTGGTAACGTCAGACACAGCAGACTGGACACCAGCAGGGTGACACACATGAACCCTATCAGCAGGACGATCTACAAACAAGAGAGAGAGACATTCAAGTGGTAACTTGTCCTGAGGGGAAAGTGGAAGGGTCGGTGGTAGGGTGTAGTGCAGGGCTGTCCAACCCTCTTCCTGGCAATCTACCGTCCTGTGGGTTTTCAGTCCAACCCTAATTTAACACACCTGATTCTACTTATTAGCTGCTCAACAAGACCTTAACTAGCTGAATCAGATACGCTAAGTTAGGGTTGGACTGAAAACCTACAGGACAGTAGATCTCCAGGAAGAGGGTTGGACTGAAAACCTACAGGACAGTAGATCTCCAGGAAGAGGGTTGGACTGAAAACCTACAGGACAGTAGATCTCCAGGAAGCGGGTTGGACTGAAAACCTACAGGACAGTAGTTCTCCAGGAAGAGGGTTGGACTGAAAACCTACAGGACAGTAGATCTCCAGGAAGAGGGTTGGACTGAAAACCTACAGGACAGTAGATCTCCAGGAAGAGGGTTGGACTGAAAACCTACAGGACAGTAGATCTCCAGGAAGAGGGTTGGACTGAAAACCTACAGGACAGTAGATCTCCAGGAAGAGGGTTGGACTGAAAACCTACAGGACAGTAGATCTCCAGGAAGAGGGTTGGACTGAAAACCTACAGGACAGTAGATCTCCAGTAAGAGGGTTGGACTGAAAACCTACAGGACAGTAGATCTCCAGTAAGAGGGTTGGACTGAAAACCTACAGGACAGTAGATCTCCAGGAAGAGGGTTGGACTGAAAACCTACAGGACAGTAGATCTCCAGGAAGAGGGTTGGACTGAAAACCTACAGGACAGTAGATCTCCAGGAAGAGGGTTGGACTGAAAACCTACAGGACAGTAGATCTCCAGGAAGAGGGTTGGACTGAAAACCTACAGGACAGTAGATCTCCAGGAAGAGGGTTGGACTGAAAACCTACAGGACAGTAGTTCTCCAGGAAGAGGGTTGGACTGAAAACCTACAGGACAGTAGATCTCCAGGAAGAGGGTTGGACTGAAAACCTACAGGACAGTAGATCTCCAGGAAGAGGGTTGGACTGAAAACCTACAGGACAGTAGATCTCCAGGAAGAGGGTTGGACTGAAAACCTACAGGACAGTAGATCTCCAGGAAGAGGGTTGGACTGAAAACCTACAGGACAGTAGATCTCCAGGAAGAGGGTTGGACTGAAAACCTACAGGACAGTAGATCTCCAGGAAGAGGGTTGGACTGAAAACCTACAGGACAGTAGTTCTCCGGGAAGAGGGTTGGACTGAAAACCTACAGGACAGTAGATCTCCGGGAAGAGGGTTGGACTGAAAACCTACAGGACAGTAGATCTCCAGGAAGAGGGTTGGACTGAAAACCTACAGGACAGTAGATCTCCAGGAAGAGGGTTGGACTGAAAACCTACAGGACAGTAGATCTCCAGGAAGAGGGTTGGACTGAAAACCTACAGGACAGTAGATCTCCAGGAAGAGGGTTGGACTGAAAACCTACAGGACAGTAGATCTCCAGGAAGAGGGTTGGACTGAAAACCTACAGGACAGTAGATCTCCAGGAAGAGGGTTGGGCAGCCCTGGTTAAGGGTATACGGGTTAAGTGTTAAGGTAGTGTGTAGTGTAACTGACCCTAAAGGGGAAGCGTAGGGGCCGGTGGTAGGGTTGGAAGCCTATAGGTCCTCCCTGCTGTAGTATGGCCTGATGGGCTGCATGAAGCCCCTCCCCCACAGCAGGGGCGGGGTTAGCGTTGTTGTTGTGGTGACCGGGAGCAGGGTTGTTGTTGTTGTTGACAGGCTGGTTAGCCTCGTCGTCTTCCTGTTCTCCCAGCAGGTAAGAGTGGAGGTCTCTGAAAGGAGAGAGGGGAGGAGGAGGAGGATAGGGGGGAGGAGTGGGGAGAGGAGGAGAAGAAGATGATTAGGAGAGGAGGAGGAGGAGAGGGGAGAGGAGGAGGATTAGGAGAGGGGGGTTAGAGGGGCAGGAGGAGGAGGATAGGGGGGAGGAGGAGTGGGGAGAGGAGGAGAAGAGGAGGATTAGGAGGGAGGGAAGAGGATAGGGGGAGGAGTGGGAGGAGGAGAAGAGGAGGATTAGGAGAGGGGGCAGAGGGGGGAGATAGGAGAGGGGGCAGAGGGGGAGATAGGAGAGCAGAATGAAGGTTAGCTAACAAATATATACTTCATGTTACGGGTCTGTAGTTACAATGAAAGAACACTTTGGGAGTGTGTATAAGTGTGTACAGGTGTAGTGTATAGTGTGCATAGGTGTAGTGTATAGTGTGTATAGACTTACAGTAGGTATCCAGCGGTTACGGTCCAGGCTCTGACCAGACCTTTGAGCCACTGGCGTGTGTGACCCTGTTCCAGGAGAGCTGGCAGAACCACCTGCAGCAGCAACAGCTCCAGAGACAGCTCACTGACTGGAGCATCACTGGAGGAAAGGAGAGAGGAGGGGGGAGAGAGAGAGGGGAGGGGGGGAGAAGAGAGCGGAGGAGGGGGAGAGAGGAGGGGGAGAGCGGAGCAGAGGGGGGGGCTCCTAGACAGTAGGTTTGAGCTCGAGATCTTCAGTGTGGAGGAAGATGAGTAGGGGGGGAGAGAGAGAGAGGAGGGGGGAGAGAGAGAGAGGAGGGGGGAGAGCGAGAGAGGAGGGGGAAGGTACATCACTTACCGGGTATACATCTACAGTACATTCCTAGGTATTTAGATGCTGGGCTGGAAAAAAACCTGCACACAATGCAGCTCTCCAGTACCAGGGTTGGTGACCATTGCTGGCCACAGTTGAGCCATGTTAGTGTCCCTGTAAAGCATGATGTTGTAGGGAAGGAAAGAATGAGTGTCCCTGTAAAGCATGATGTTGTAGGGAAGGATGGAGTGAGTGTACCTGTAAAGCATGATATTGTAGGGAAGGAAGGAGTGAGTGTACCTGTAAAGCATGATGTTTTAGGGAAGGAAGGAGTGTCCCTGTAAAGCATGATGTTGTAGGGAAGGAAGGAGTGAGTGTACCTGTAAAGCATGATGTTGTAGGGAAGGATGGAGTGAGTGTACCTGTAAAGCATGATGTTGTAGGGAAGGAAGGAGTGAGTGTACCTGTAAAGCATGATGTTTTAGGGAAGGAAGGAGTGTCTCTGTAAAGCATGATATTGTAGGGAAGGAAGGAGTGAGTGTACCTGTAAAGCATGATATTGTAGGGAAGGAAGGAGTGAGTGTACCTGTAAAGCATGATGTTTTAGGGAAGGAAGGAGTGTACCTGTAAAGCATGATATTGTAGGGAAGGAAGGAGTGAGTGTACCTGTAAAGCATGATGTTTTAGGGAAGGAAGGAGTGTACCTGTAAAGCATGATGTTGTAGGGAAGGAAGGAGTGAGTGTACCTGTAAAGCATGATGTTGTAGGGAAGGATGGAGTGAGTGTCCCTGTAAAGCATGATGTTGTAGGGAAGGAAGGAGTGAGTGTACCTGTAAAGCATGATGTTTTAGGGAAGGAAGGAGTGTCTCTGTAAAGCATGATATTGTAGGGAAGGAAGGAGTGAGTGTACCTGTAAAGCATGATATTGTAGGGAAGGAAGGAGTGAGTGTACCTGTAAAGCATGATGTTTTAGGGAAGGAAGGAGTGTACCTGTAAAGCATGATATTGTAGGGAAGGAAGGAGTGAGTGTACCTGTAAAGCATGATGTTTTAGGGAAGGAAGGAGTGTACCTGTAAAGCATGATGTTGTAGGGAAGGAAGGAGTGAGTGTACCTGTAAAGCATGATGTTGTAGGGAAGGAGTGAGTGTACCTGTAAAGCATGATGTTGTAGGGAAGGAAGGAGTGAGTGTACCTGTAAAGCATGATGTTGTAGGGAAGGAAGGAGTGTACCTGTAAAGCATGATGTTGTAGGGAAGGAAGGAGTGAGTGTACCTGTAAAGCATGATGTTTTAGGGAAGGAAGGAGTGTACCTGTAAAGCATGATGTTGTAGGGATGGAAGGAGTGAGTGTCCCTGTAAAGCATGATGTTGTAGGGAAGGAAGGAGTGTCTCTGTAAAGCATGATGTTGTAGGGAAGGAAGGAGTGAGTGTACCTGTAAAGCATGATGTTGTAGGGAAGGAAGGAGTGAGTGTACCTGTAAAGCATGATGTTGTAGGGAAGGAAGGAGTGAGTGTACCTGTAAAGCATGACGTTGTAGGGAAGGAAGGAGTGAGTGTACCTTTAAAGCATGACGTTGTAGGGAAGGAAGGAGTGAGTGTACCTGTAAAGCATGACGTTGTAGGGAAGGAAGGAGTGAGTGTACCTGTAAAGCATGATGTTGTAGGGAAGGAAGGAGTGAGTGTACCTGTAAAGCATGATGTTGTAGGGAAGGAAGGAGTGAGTGTACCTGTAAAGCATGATGTTGTAGGGAAGGAAGGAGTGTCCCTGTAAAGCATGACGTTGTAGGGAAGGAAGGAGTGAGTGTACCTGTAAAGCATGACGTTGTAGGGAAGGAAGGAGTGAGTGTCCCTGTAAAGCATGATGTTGTAGGGAAGGAAGGAGTGAGTGTACCTGTAAAGCATGACGTTGTAGGGAAGGAAGGAGTGAGTGTCCCTATAAAGCATGATGTTGTAGGGAAGGAAGGAGTATCTCTGTAAAGCATGATTTTGTAGGGAAGGAAGGAGTGAGTGTACCTGTAAAGCATGATGTTGTAGGGAAGGAAGGAGTGAGTGTCCCTGTAAAGCATGATGTTGTAGGGAAGGAAGGAGTGAGTGTACCTGTAAAGCATGATGTTGTAGGGAAGGAAGGAGTATCTCTGTAAAGCATGATGTTGTAGGGAAGGAAGGAGTGAGTGTACCTGTAAAGCATGATGTTGTAGGGAAGGAAGGAGTGAGTGTACCTGTAAAGCATGATGTTGTAGGGAAGGAAGGAGTGAGTGTACCTGTAAAGCATGACGTTGTAGGGAAGGAAGGAGTGAGTGTACCTGTAAAGCATGACGTTGTAGGGAAGGAAAGCAGGGAGGAGTAGCTTGATCATCCTGATGGGCAGCCACAACATCAGGAGAACGATAGAACCAAACACCACCTAGGAGAGGAGAGATCATACATCATACACCTTTTAATGATCAGAGCCATAGCTGCATATAACTACTTTTGACCAACACATCTGTCTGTAGATGAACGGACCACAGACTGGATGAACCTGCGGAGGCAGCATTTTTATTTACCGGACATTTAAGAAATTGACCGGACCAATATGCATTGGTTGCGTAACCTGATTAGGCCGTCCACCCACGTTTCTCAGAATGACAGAAATCACATTTAGTTTATGGTAATTCATCTTAACAGAACATGCAAGTCGGATGCAAATGGCGTGCATCATTCTTACCGAATTCCGATGAGATGTTAGAATGCATGTCCATAAGGCTAGGGGAAGCTTTCCCTAAAGTAAATTTAAATTGCCTAAATTATATAGCCTAATTAGCTTACCCCTGTCTATACAGAAATAAAAAAAATCTTTCAAAATAGCCTAATACACCAAAAAGCATAATTTGGTCACAGAGGATCATTAACTTCTTTTTTAAATGTTTACATGTGGATTGTTTTAAATGGCATAGCCTACAGTTGGAAAGGCCTGCAATTTGGGCAGCGTGCAGTAAATACCAAATAGATGATTGTTGAGTTGCGACTGTCAGTGAAAAGCAGAGAGACCCAGCCAGGCATATCGCAATATTTATAAATACAATCGCGGAAAAACAGTTTGGGAAACAAATGGCTATTGCTGTAAAGAGAAGACTCCAATCTGTCTTTTAGTTATCAAAATTATCAACTTCATTGAGCGAAAAGTAGCCTATCCTATTGGCACCAGCGGAGAACATCAGCCATATCCCCGGTGAGTGTGCATATTCACTGTCTTTATCATTGGGTCTGTGCCACTTGTTTGTTTTTGGACAATAATTTCCTCCTTCAGGTTAGATGGACGTCATGTTGTATTTGTGTCTCCCCTGTTTGCAGGCCAATTATATGGATCAGACAACGTCGTCTTTATTGATCTGTTTGTCAGTGTCAGCAGAGTAGGCTACCAAGTCATTTTTGTCGTATTAAAAAAAGATTCTGCTAATGTCTCCAGTCATATAAAGTGTAGTAGAATTGCATAAAATGTGTTTATTAAAGGCCAACATTTTCCTGTGCAAAGAAAGGAGAAGAAGTGTAGCCTAGGTCTACTCTAAGTCACTACGCACTGCACTGAACAGTATTTTTTGCGCACAGTGATTTAGTTATATTATTAGCCTAAATTATGACTATCCAATCTAAATCGTCACATTAGGAATAGTAGGCTATCTTACATAAGTCTGCAAATGCTTTATTATACAGGTGCATTTCTATGGTGAAACTTAGCTTCCCCAAACTTGAAACCCACATGCCGCCTATGTTAGAATAACTGCCCACATTTACTTTTGCTCATCCAACAAGTAACGAACAGCAAAATTACTAGCCTATGTCAATCTTCTACCCTAAATCTAAATATGCAACAACTAGCAATGGGTTGCTAATATGACTAGGATTGGGCCTTTGGCTACTGGACAACTAAAGAAAGTTGATTTGAAAAAGCAATAGAACATGAGAAAAATTGGTTATTGGTTTCAATGGTATAGGGAAGTCTTCATAAAATAATTGCCTGCATATTTGGTTTGATTTTGGCTAAGTTACTTTAAAGCAAGGTAAGACATGCTTCATATGTAGTAAAACGTTCAGGTTTAAAACACAAGTACGTTTTTAAAAAATGCATACCGCCTCCAGCTCATTGTAAAGTGGTGAGTGACAGGCTGAAGCCTGGTTAGTTGCCGTTGTACTTGAATGGCGAATGGGAAGAGTGTTTCAATTACCAGTTGAGAAATAAAAATAGCAGCTCTTTTTAATGTTGGCCATTGTTGTTGTTTTGTTACATGCGATTGCCTGGTATTTCCATCATTCAACAGGCTAAAATTCATTAACTTCGCAATGGGATTACTTTTTCTTCTTCTCCCGAACAATTGCCGGCACCAATTTGATCAGCTTTTCATTTTTCAGGCCAAAGGTCGGCTATTCCCGGCTAACGGAAACCCTGCTGCGGAGGGGTCTGTAGATGTCCAGTGCATTGTACATTTAGTTACATTACAGCCTTTTTCCAAAATGGATTAAATAAAATAAAAACCCTCATCTACACACAATACCCCATAATGACAAAGCAAAAACAGGTTTTTAGAAATGTTTGCAAATGTATAAACAAAACCCAGAATACCTTATTTCCATAAGTATTCAGACCTTTTACTATGAGACTCGAAATTGAGCTCAGGTGCATCCTGTTTCCAGTGATCTGGGGAAGGGTACCAAAAAATGTCTGCAGCATTGAAGGTCTCCAAGAACACAGTGGCCTCCATCATTCTTAAAATGGAAGAAGTTTGGAACCACCAAGACTCTTCCTAGAGCTGGCCGCCCGGCCAAACTGAGCAATCGGGGGAGAAGGGCCTTGGTCAGGGAGGTGATCAAGAACCCGATGGTCACTCTGACAGAGCTCCAGAGTTCCTCTGTGGAGATGGGAGAACCTTCCAGAAGGACAACCATCTCTGCAGCACTCCACCAATTATGGTAGAGTGGCCAGACGGAAGCCGCTCCTCAGTAAAAGGCACGACAGCCCGCTTGGAGTTTGCCAAAAGGCACTTAAAGACTCTCAGACCATGAGAAACAAGATTCTCTGGTCTGATGAAACCAAGATTGAACTATTTGGCCTGAATGCCAAGCATCATGTCTGGAGGAAACCTGGCACCATCCCTTACGGTGAAGCATGGTGGTGGCAGCATCATGCTGTGGGGATGGTTTTCAGCGGCAGGGACTGGGAGACTAGTTAGGATCGAGGGAAAGATGAACGGAGCAAAGTACACAGAGATCCTTGATGAAAACCTGCTCCAGAGCACTCAGGACCTCAAACTGGGGCGAAGGTTCACCTTCCAACAGGACAACGACCCTAAGCACACAGCCAAGACAACGCAGGAGTGGCTTCAGGAAAAGTCTCTGAATGTCCTTGAGTGGCCCAGCCAGAGCCCGATCGAACATCTCTGGAGAGACCTGAAAATAGCTGTCTAGTAACGCTCCCCATCCAACCTCACAGAGCTTGAGAGAATCTGCAGAGAAGAATGGGAGAAACACGCCAAATACATGTGTGCCAAGCTTGTAGCGTCATACCCATGAAGCCTCGAGGCTGTAAATCGCTGCCAAAGGTGCTTCAACAAAGTACTGAGTAAAGGGTCTGAATACTTTTTTTTATTTTTAATAAATTAGCAAAACATCTGTTTTTGCTTTGTCATTATGGGGTATTGTGTGATGAGGATTATTATTTTTAAAATCCATTTTAGAATAAGGCTGTAATGTAACAAAATGTGGAAAAAGTCAAGGGGTCTGAATACTTTCCAAATGCACTGTACGTACCACAGACAGGATGAACCTGCGGAGGTGTCTGTAGATGTACTGACCACAGACAGGATGAACCTGCGGAGGTGTCTGTAGATGTACTGACCACAGACAGGATGAACCTGCGGAGGTGTCTGTAGATGTACTGACCACAGACAGGATGAACCTGCGGAGGTGTCTGTAGATGTACTGACCACAGACAGGATGAACCTGCGGAGGTGTCTGTAGATGTACTGACCACAGACAGGATGAACCTGCGGAGGTGTCTGTAGATTGGTAGGTGGATCATCTCCTGGACTGGGTTGAAGTCTGGATCGTTCAGGTTTCTCAGAAACCACAGGACCCCAGGCCTCAGTACCTGACCCAACACAGCACCACAATATAGTCAGGAATTAATCAACAGCACACTACAACAAACCAGTCAATAACTAAGTTTCCATCCAATTGGCAACAGAATTTCATGTGAATATTCAGAAATATGCATAAGGGAAATATGCAATTTTTTTGGGATAAAAATCAGTGAGTGATGACGTAATGCACATAAATTACTTTTTCCGCACGCATTTTCATGTACCGAATAAAAGCCTAAAGTTTAATATGTTTCCATCGCATTTCAACAAAAACTGTTGCATTAAATAGCAAAGGTTTGTGGCACGTACGCTCTAGTCAACAGCTCACGGATACTGTGCAGGTCGGCTAGTGAAGAATCAATCATCATGTCACCAGAATGAGACCCTCAATATTTATTGGATAGGAGCATCAAAGCTCATCACTGTGCACTTGCACCACCTTGTGAAGTTCATCATAACATTTTATCTGTAGCCGAATAAACTGCATGCTTTCCCGAGTCCTAGTGGGAGGACCACACAACATACACCACATGGCCAAAAGTATGTATCAGCCACAAGAGCATTAGTGAGGTCGGGCACTTATGTTGGGCGATTAGACCTGGCTTGCAGTCGGTGTTCCAATTCATCCCAAAGGTGTTCGATGGGGTTGAGGTCAGGGCACTGTGCAGGCCAGTTAAGTCCTTCCACTCCGATCTCAACAAACCATTTCTGTATGGACCTCGCTTTGTGCACGGGGGCATTGTCATGCTGAAACAGGGAAGGGCCTTCCCCAAACTGTTGCCACAAAGTTGGAAACACAGAATCATCTAGAATGTAATTGTATGCAGTAGCGTTGACATTTCCCTTCACTGGAACTAAGGTGCCTAGCCCGAATTATGAAAAACAGCCCCAGACCATTACCTTTACAGTTGGCACTATGCATTCGGGCAGGTAGCGTTCTCCTGGCATGAAGCTCCCGATGAAAAGCTATTGTGCTGACATTGCTTCCAGATGCAGTTTGGAACTCAGTAGTGAGTGTTGCAACTGAGGACACGCGCTTCAGCACTCGCCGGTCCCGTTCTGTGAGCCCTACCACTTCGCGGCTGAGCCGTTGTTGCTCCTAGATGTTTCCTCTTCACAATAACAGCACTTACAGTTGACCGGGGCAGCTCTAGCAGGGCAGAAATTTGCCGAACTGACTTGTTGGAAAGGTGGCATCCTATGACGGTGCCACGTTGAAAGTCACTGAGCTCTTCAGTAAGGCCGTTCTACTGCCAATGTTTTTGCTATGGAGATTGCATGGCTGTGTGCTCAATTTTATACACCTGTCAGCAAAGCAACGGGTGTGGCTGAAATAGCCTAATCCACTAATTTGATGGGGTGTCCACATACCTTTGGCCACGTGAATCCAAGTTTATTTCGATATGATGTTTATTATATCAATATTTGCGCATAAAGGCGGTTCCCTTCGACATTCCACACATCATTAATTTGAGACACAAAAACAATCCCACCATATCAAACAAACAAATCGTCTGACATTTATTGAAATTGTACCGACATTTCCTGTTTCCATCAGCTCGGTCGCATCTTTTTAAATTTTTTATGTGTCAGTTAATTCACCCTCATGAATTGGCTGTATGGAAACCTGGTTATTGAGCATGTCCCAAATCACACCTTATATAGTGCACTACATTAACTCTACATCACAAATGGCACCCTATTCACTATTTAGTGCACTAGTTTTGACCAGGGCCATATGGGGCTCTGGTCCAAAGTAGTGCACTATAAATGGAATAGGGTACCATTTGTGTCTGGGCCCGAAGTGTGATCCGTCCCCTACCTCTCTCAGCAGGAGGATGAAGGATGCGAAATAGAAGACGTAGACCATTCCCACCAGCCAGTGCAGGAACATGGTGGTGCCTGGAGCAGACTTAAAACTCTGCTCTCTGTCCTTCAGAGACGCATCAAACATCTCCTGCAGAACGGACGGAAGAAAAGGTGGAAACCGTTAAAGGAAAGAAAAGGAGAGGGGTGGGGGAAATGGAGAGCATGGTTGGAAGAGAAGAGGGGGAGAGAGAAGAGGGATAGAACTAAATATTTGTACGTACTAAAGAGCAGATGTCGAGCCACCAGCCACAGATGAGGGGGAAAACTCCTATCTCCACGACAACAAGCAGTGAGACCTGGAACACAGACACACCACGTTAAACACCATTGACAGACACATGACCTCAGGGACTATGAAGACCCAGGGGAAACTCAGGCAATTCAGAAATCATGCATTGATGTCAATGGGAGATTTACATTAAAAAAGGTTGACCTACGTCATTCATTTAGATTTGTTCTTATAGTCGAGTCATTCTAGGGGTTTACAGTAATATGAAAAGCCTAGATTTAAAACCGAAACGTTACCTTGACAACGATGTAGCAGACCCCTAGTAGACGGCGGGACCTCTGAAACCTGACCAGAGCAGCGAACCCCTGAGAGACACCAGTTAAGGACAAACACACACTTTTGTACACAGTGGAAAGGTCTCCATGGAAACACTGCATGGTCACAGGAAGGGATCTCGGTCAGTAGGCGGAAGGATACGTGACAGAGGATGAGCGTCATGGCCAGCAGGATGTACCCTACGATGGTTGTGATCAGGCCCTCGAATTGGGAAGCTTGGACCTAGAGGACAAGACATAAGCATTCAACCATATTTGCTTTGTTGGTGAGGCCAACTTTGTTGAATGCAGAACGTAAACAGACTATTCTTGACTATATCGATTAAATATGCAATCATCTTTGTAAATACAATATATTTGTACTGTATATCATTATGTTTTTCACAGAGAGTCAGGAGTGGTATATTAGAGAATTTTTCTTACATATTCCTCAAAGCCAAGTCCCATGACAGAGAAGTGACCAATGTGGTATGGACAGAACGCTGGAAGAGAAAACAGAGAAGCGTCAAACCTCACAGCCTTCTACTGAGCACTATTACCATACCTGGCTAGTTGGTTTTAAGAAGGGTACTACTTTAGAGGGAGTTAGTGTTAGTTTGTGTACTCACCGAAGACCAGAATGAAGAGAGTGTTCAGAGACACAACCCAGAACACATGCTCCTGGAATACAAGACACAAAGCAAAACATCACCTCACTACTTTCTAGTGCTACTGCTCACAGAACAGAAAACCCCTTCATTGCAATAATACCCAATACTAGGTGTATAAATACTACCCCATACTAGGTGTATAAATACTACTCCATACCAGGTGTATAAATACTACTCCATACTAGGTATAAATACTACTCCATACTAGGTGTATAAATTCTACTCCATACTAGGTATAAATACTACTCCATACTAGGTGTATAAATACTACCCCATACTAGGTGTATAAATACTACACCATACTGGGTATAAATAATACCCCATACTAGGTGTATAAATACTACACCATACTAGGTATAAATACTACTCCATACTAGGTATAAATACTACTCCATACTAGGTGTATAAATACTACTCCATACTAGGTGTATAAATACTACTCCATACCAGGTGTATAAATACTACTCCATACTAGGTGAATAAATACTACTCCATACTATGTGTATAAATACTACTCCATACTAGGTGTATAAATACTACACCATACCAGGTGTATAAATACTACTCCGTACTAAGTGTATAAATACTACTCCGTACTAGGCGAATAAATACTACACCATACTAGGTGTATAAATACTACTCCATAATATGTGTATAAATACATTTACATTACATTTACGTCATTTAGCAGACGCACTTATCCAGAGCGACTTACATTATTTTATTTTATTTCATACCCCCTGTGGGAATCGAACCCACAACCCTGGCTTGCAAACGCCATGCTCTATCAACTGAGCTACATCCCTGCCGGCCATTCCCTCCCCTACCCTGGACGACGCTGGGCCAATTGCGCGCCGCCCCATGGGTCTCCCAGTCACGGCCGGCTACGACAGAGCCTGGATTCGAACCAGGATCTCTAGTGGCACAGCTAGCACTGCGATGCAGTGCCTTAGACCACTGCGCCACTCAATACTACTCCATACTAGGTGTATAAATACTACTCCATACTAGGTGTATAAATACTACTCCATACTAGGTGTATAAATACTACTCCATACTAGGTGTATAAATACTACTCCATACTAGGTGTATAAATACTACTCCATACTAGGTGTATAAATACTACTCCATACTAGGTGTATAAATACTACTCCATACTAGGTGAATAAATACTACACCGTACTAGGTGTATAAATACTACTCCATACTATGTGTGTTAATAATGATTCATACTAGAAGTGTAAATAAATACGTACTAAGAACACCAAGGAGCCATCTAGTCCAAGCATCTGAGAGGTAAAGAGAGAGACATTAAGAGGTGATGATATAGTCATGGACAGTGGGGTGTCATGCACTTGATTCAGCACAGATGTGTTGGAGATTGCTGAAACTAAACCAGTCTTACCCTTTCCCAGGTGAGCTCCTCTGCTGCTCTGTCCCATTCTAGAGCATTCCAGTTCATATCATCTACAGACAGAGAGAGAAAGATAGAGAAAAATAGAGAGAGAGAAAGATAGAGAGAAATAATATGCAGAGAGAGAGATCTCATACTATATAACTTAGTATTGCTGTTGCCATATGTTGGTCATCAGCTGAGTGCTGGCCCTAGTCTCCTACCCTGAGCTCCGTTGTTGGCATCCGCATCTTCGGCAGCCGCCCCCTCCTCTTCCTCGTTGTCTTGTTCTGGCTCCTCCCCCTGTTCTGGGGGGCCGTCTGGGGGCTCTGGCTCTGCCTCGTGAGCTGGCGGGTTGGCAGGGGGATCATCAGCTGCTCCCTGACCTGCAGCCTGCAGGATGGAGGGGCTGTAAATGTGTGCGTGCGTGTGTGTGTGTGTGTGTGCGTGCGCGTGTGTGTGTGTGTGTGTGTGTGTGTGTGTGTGTGCGTGCGCGTGTGTGTGTGTGCGTTACCTCATTGGGCTGCTGTCCGGCTGCGTTGGGCTGGGGCTGCTGGTGGTGCTCCAGCCACAGGGGGGGGCCACCATGGACTATCTGCTCCCTGAGCCACACCAGGCTAATGAACGCACACAGTGTACACGTCACCACGAAACAGCCCTGCAGACAGTCTGCCAGCAGGTTATCTCTACAGGGAGGATGTGAAAATGTCAAAGAACTACAAAAAAGCACTCACACATCTTGTTGCGAAACTGGGAATAATGCCATAATATCTATGAGCTCTGACGAAGGCCAAGAGGCCGACACGTAAGCTTGAATAAACAGTGATACCATCTGATACAGGAAAGAGGTACAGAGTCTGATTGGTGAAGGAGGAGGATATGACGTCATGACTCACGTGGAGAGCATGTCCAATGGCAGCGTCAGGAGCGAGGTCACAGAGCCGGTAAACAGACACTTGTAGATTCGACCTGGAGAGAGAGAGAGAGAGGTGCTATGGGCGTCATCTCACCAAGGTAGGACACGCTGAAGAAAGAGGTAGGCCTTCAGGAAGGAAGATCTTGGTTAGTACTGAGGCCAAATGTATTTTCGACGGGGGCAGTCTAAGTAATTGTTTGGTTCATCCTGGTATTGTAATCCTCCCTGTCCTAATAGAGTGGACAAACAAATCAACACACCAGTAGGATTAACTAAACTGGGAAAATCCCAACAGATTATTATAGAAGGTCCATTTCTGATCCTATAAAACCATGTACACAGCGCTAGTGAACTTAGTGCAGGGCTGCCCAACCCTCTTCCTGGAGATCTACCGTCCTGTGGGTTTTCAGTCCAACCCTAATTTAACACACCTGATTCTACTTATTAGCTGCTCAACAAGACCTTAACTAGCTGAATCAGATACGCTAAGTTAGGGTTGGACTGAAAACCTACAGGACAGTAGATCTCCAGGAAGAGGGTTGGACTGAAAACCTACAGGACGGTAGATCTCCAGGAAGAGGGTTGGACTGAAAACCTACAGGACGGTAGATCTCCAGGAAGAGGGTTGGACTGAAAACCTACAGGACGGTAGATCTCCAGGAAGAGGGTTGGACTGAAAACCTACAGGACAGTAGATCTCCAGGAAGAGGGTTGGACTGAAAACCTACAGGACAGTAGATCTCCAGGAAGAGGGTTGGACTGAAAACCTACAGGACGGTAGATCTCCAGGAAGAGGGTTGGACTGAAAACCTACAGGACAGTAGATCTCCAGGAAGAGGGTTGGACTGAAAACCTACAGGACAGTAGATCTCCAGGAAGAGGGTTGGACTGAAAACCTACAGGACAGTAGATCTCCAGGAAGAGGGTTGGACTGAAAACCTACAGGACAGTAGATCTCCAGGAAGAGGGTTGGACTGAAAACCTACAGGACAGTAGATCTCCAGGAAGAGGGTTGGACTGAAAACCTACAGGACAGTAGATCTCCAGGAAGAGGGTTGGACTGAAAACCTACAGGACAGTAGATCTCCAGGAAGAGGGTTGGACTGAAAACCTACAGGACAGTAGATCTCCAGGAAGAGGGTTGGACTGAAAACCTACAGGACAGTAGATCTCCAGGAAGAGGGTTGGACTGAAAACCTACAGGACAGTAGATCTCCAGGAAGAGGGTTGGACTGAAAACCTACAGGACAGTAGATCTCCAGGAAGAGGGTTGGACTGAAAACCTACAGGACAGTAGATCTCCAGGAAGAGGGTTGGACTGAAAACCTACAGGACAGTAGATCTCCAGGAAGAGGGTTGGACTGAAAACCTACAGGACAGTAGATCTCCAGGAAGAGGGTTGGACTGAAAACCTACAGGACAGTAGATCTCCAGGAAGAGGGTTGGACTGAAAACCTACAGGACAGTAGATCTCCAGGAAGAGGGTTGGGCAGCCCTGGTTAAGGGTATGTACAGGTTCTTATGTGAGTGATATTGTACCTAAGAGTAAAGAGTTGACGCATTAAGGAGTGTGTGTACATCATCACTCTACTCACATGCAGTGAGGGGGACCACCCCCAGCCATGCGAAGGCCACCAGTGTGTAGTGGAACCAGTATCGTATGGCCGTGCCCACACTGGCCAGCAGGCCAGCACAGATGTCCTGAATGGGCAGGCGGGTGGGCATGTCTGGGGAGTAGACTGGAGCAGAGCAGACAGAGAGAGAGAGGGATGAAACAATCATTTATGTTCAAAGTTTTAAACGTATTGAATAACAGAGAGACAATAAAGGTTGAGACGTTTCTTATCTATGTCTAGAACCTAAAAAGGGTTCTTTGGCTGTCCCCACAGGAGAACCCTTTGAAGAACCCTTTTGGGTTCCAGGTAGAACCCTTTTTTCTAGGAGTGTATTCAATGACAGAGCATCCCAGTCTGAAGTAAACCTCTTGCACATTTCTGAGACTGACAGGTCAATGCCATGGATGGGTACTTACTTGGTGTGAAAGCAAATCTGTGCTTGCATAATTCACAGTACTCCTTCCTGCTGTGCTTCAGCCACTGGACCAAACTGTAAACGACAACAACAACAACAAAGGTAAGAGAGGTGAATGTTAGGTGAGGAACTAACGTATGCAACAGCAGGCATGAAATACCATCTTTCTCACTCAAGGAGAGAAATTCAGTCCAACTCACATGGGGCGATGAGTGAGTGAGTGTGTGTGAGTGAGAGAGAGAGAGTATGTCACACACACACCTGGTGAATGAGAACTGGTCCACACAGAGGATCATAAAACACGGATTTTAATCATCATGAAAGTGTTCTTACTGCCCAGTTAGTCCTACATGTTAATAACACCAAAACATCCAAGTTAAATGTAACTAACTAGTCCTAGGTTACATGGTATCCATCTGTACATCTTAATGAATCATGTGTGACACACTACTCTGACCCAACAGGGGCTATTAAAGATGTAATATAATAATATAATATGCCATTTAGCAGACGCTTTTATCCAAAGCGACTTACAGTCATGCGTGCATACATTTTTGTGTATGGGTGGTCCCGGGGATCGAACCCTTGGCGTTACAAGCGCCGTGCTCTACCAGCTGAGCTACAGAGGACCACACAAAGATCAGTGATATTGTGCCAGAGCAGATGTTCCCAGAAATGGAATGATGACACAGTGCTCCAATGCACTACTCTACCCGGATCAGCAGACCACGTACAGTTGAAGTCGGAAGTTTACATACACCTTAGCCAAATACATTTAAACTCAGTTTTTGTCCATTTAGAAGACCCATTTGCGACCAAGCTTTAACTTCCACGTATGTGTAACCACGCCTGTAGTAACCTGAAGGCTTTTATCATGTTTCAAAATCTGGGCCTGCGGTAGTAAACCATGACGGTAAACCACATTATAGTAGTTCAATAGTGTTCAGACTGCTTCTCATCACGATTCTGAGTTCTAGCACAGTAAATGACAGATCAGAAATGTTCAGTCTTTTATCCTTCGCGTTATTTTGGCACACCTAGCTAATCGTTTTCCCCTTTGTTAGATCCACAGAGAAAACAGCTGTGATAGCAGAGACATCAGAGGGATGATCACTTGGACGCAGGCCAACGTCATCGCCTCAGGACAGTCTTTTATCATCGTCTTACATGCTGACCAGACCGCGTGTTGATTTTGTCCACCCACACCAGACGCGATCAGGACACGCAGGTTGAAATATCAAAAGGAACTCTGAACCAACTATATTAATTTGGGGACAGGTCGAAAACCATTAAACATTTATGGCAATTTAGTTAGCTAGCTTGCTGTTGCTAGCTAATTTGTCCTGGGATATAAACATTTAGTTGTTATTTTACCTGAAATGCACAAGGTCCTCTACTCTAACAATTAATACACAGATAAAAGGGGTTTCGTTTCTAGTAAGTTCGTTTCTAGTAATCTTTCCTCCTTCTTTAGACTTTATATGTCGGTTTGCAACCAACTTTAAGGTGCATTACCACAACCAACTGGACTGGAGTGTGGACCTCAAGTTCATCTTTCAATCACCCACGTGGTTATATGCTCCTAAAAACCAATGAGAAGATGGGAGAAGCGGGACTTGCAGCACGTCACAAATAGAACCAAGTTCTATTTTAGCACCTGGCTACGCAGACGCTCATTGCCGCATGCGAGCAGTGTGGATGCAATGATTGAATAACATGTGTGTACATGTATTTTGCAGCGCTCGCGCACGCGACACGAGCGGTGGGGGTCAGCATGTTAGGCAATAGCCAACCCCTATGCTGTGTCTTTATATCAACATTACTTCCTCAAATGTTATTCTCCTACGGCCATTATATCAGAGGAGTGAGTAGGTTTCTCTATGGCTAGTATTGGGAGCGGGTGTAGGGGGCTAGGTATATTCTGACTATAAATACTAGGCCTACATACAGTATATAGTTGACTCCTGATAATAAGTGCACTTAAGTGTAAAACAATCTTGAGGTCCCAATTCATTGACAATCTTTGAAATTGTTCCTGACGACTGCATGGTCCCAAGCCATGTCAATCATTCTTCAGGACAGGAGTTGACAGTGATTGAGTCAAGACAGAGAGAGACACTCACCATTCCTGGTGGATGAACTTGATACTTCCGGTACAGACACAGGGGTGGTACAGGGGTTTGTCTGGGGTCCCCTCTGAACGACACACGCGACATATATCCCCTACACATAAGAGTAGAGGAAGATGTTTGTCCATTGGTTCAGAGAGACAGACACAAGGACACACACACACAGCCATACCGCCTACACATTGGAATAACAGCCTCCTGTAGTTGCAATCGATTTGAAGCTACCAAATTCATTGTTCCAGCGCTTAATCAAATAATATTGTACTTAGCCCCACACTGAAAAGATAAATGGCAACATCATTGATGTCATGAGAGCAGACATCCGTTAATAGCTAGCTAGCTATGGGGTTAGCTACGTTTCATTGATTACCTTGTTATTGTACCTAACGTTAGCTCCAGTTAGCTTAACTAGCTTCCATGCCAGTGCTAGCAGCCGCATCCATCTCTGTCCTGGGGAAATGTGCTAGATTATATGACTAACCAGCATTGGTCTAGCTAGCTAGCTAGCTACTTGTAGCCTATTGATTATCGATTGCTTCTAGCCAGGCCCTAACTGATGTCACTGTTTGGGTGTCAGTCGACGAACAATGTGCTAGCAACTGACGTTGGAAAGGTAGCTTAGTTAAACTAGTTAGTTACTGTACCCAGTCTCCAAAGCAAAATGTGGTCGCTAGCTAACTAGCTAGCTAACGTTAGTGGACTGTAAAATGACATTTACCTTCGTCTGCAGTGTCCATCTTCCTAGATGAGGCTCTGCCCCCTCTTCTGTAGATATACAGTAGTTTGCTATCCCACACCCATCCACAACGAGAATGGCAATGTTTTTATCCGATTTGGATCAGACTATCCTTGAAGTCAGATACATTGACTATCATAAAATGGTGTCCACTTTGAACACCAGAATCACTCCTGTTTCGTGACACGCTCGGACCATGTATATTGGACCGGTAGCGACTCTCAAACGGAGATCGCTAGCAGACCTCTTCCTTGCAAATTCAACACGATCAAGGCGACGAATGAGAAATGTACCCGACACAAGTGACACCTTGCGACAGTGCGCCGTTTTCCGTCAACGGTAACAGCTTCCGGATTGTGCGTCACAGGTTACCATTTTGTGGTTTCTGGCACGTGTAGATAGTGGCATCCGGAGGTATTTAGCTGTTACTACATCATACCGATGTGTCTGTGACTGAACCCCATTTCTTTATATTGATGTCTGATCCACCGCTTTACCCCGTTTTGGAATTTAAAGTTAATCTCCGAATGTAATTGAAATCTGAACACAGCTGACTTTACAACAAATACTCACATTACCAAAGCTAGGTCAAGTACTCTTAACATATTTCATTCCTATGTTGTCAGGGGCGCTGTGGCTTAGTTGGTTAAAGCGCCTGTCTAGTAAACAGGAGATCCTGAGTTCGAATCTCAGCAGTGCCTTTTTCAGACGGTATGTTAGTAAAGTTACGAACGTCAGGACTAAGGCGACTTGATTGATTATTACACGTTTGCATTTTCACACTCAAAATGCAGATTATAAAATGATCACTTTTGGTTGGTTTTGACTTTGGACTGGGAAGCGCGCCCATGATCCATTTCGGTTGGTTTTGACTTTGGACTGGGAAGCGCGCCCATGATCCATTTTGGTTGGTTTTGACTTTGGACTGGGACCCGCGCCCACACGATTGAAGAGGGCGTTCCTTGCAGTCAGCCATTCACATGATTATTTTCACTTTTCCACCGCAGAAGAATAGACCCTTTCCAGAGTTTGAGTTTTAGCCAGAATAACAATAAAGGTAAGTGGTCAAATACGTGTTGTGTGGTATTGTAGTTTAGTTGCATCAAGAGCAGAAGTAGAACAATGTTTTTTTCCCTTCAGATTTATGCAAGAAGCTCTGCTAAATTGCTAATCCACATAGGCTACATTGATACGTAACATTGTTGTGGTCTAATGTAATAAAAAGCAGGACTAAAATCCCATGCAAGTAGCAATCTCAATATTCCCTGCAGATTACTGGGTATACAGTTGAAGTCGGAAGTTTACATACACTTAGGTTGGAGTCATTAAAACTCGTTTTTCAACCACGCCACAAATGTCTTGTTAACAAACTATAGTGTTGGCAAGTCGGTTAGGACATCTACATTGTGCATGACACAAGTCGTTTTTCCAACAATTGTTTAAAGACAGATTATTTCACTTATAATTCACTGTATCACAATTCCAGTGGTTCAGAAGTTTACATACACTAAATTGACTGTGCTGCCTTTAAACAGCTTGGAAAATTCCAGAAAATGATGTCATGGCTTTAGAAGCTTTTGATAGGCTAATTGACATCATTTGAGTCAATTGGAGGTGTACCTGTGGATGTATTTCAAGGCCTACCTTCAAACTCAGTGCCTCTTTGCTTGACATCATGGGAAAATCAAAAGAAATCAGCCAAGACCTCAGAAAAAAAATGGTAGACCTCCACAAGTCTGGTTCATCCTTGGGAGCAATTTCCAAACGCCTGAAGGTACCACGTTCATCTGTACAAACAATAGTACACAAGTATAAACACCATGGGACCACACAGCCGTCATACCACTCGGGAAGGAGACGCGTTCTGTCTCCTAGAGATGAACATACTTTGGTGCGAAAAGTGCTAATCAATCCCAGAACAACAGCCAAAGGACCTTGTGAAGATGCTGGAGGAAACAGGTACAAAAGTATCTATATCCAAAGTAAAAATGAGTCTTATATCGACATAACCTGAAAGGCCGCTCAGCAAGGAAGAAGCCACTGCTCCAAAACCGCCACAAAAAAGCCAGACTACGTTTTGCAACTGCACATGGGGACAAAGATCGTACTTTTTGGAGAAATGTCCTCTGGTCTGATGAAACAAAAATAGAACTGTTTGGCCATAATGACCATCGTTATGTTTGGAGGAAAAAGGGGGGTGCTTGCAAGCCGAAGAACAACATCCCAACCGTGAAGCACGGGGGTGGCAGCATCATGCTGTGGGGGTGTTTTGCTGCAGGAGGGACTGGTGCACTTCACAAAATAGATGGCATCGTGAGGAAGGAAAATTATGTGGATATATTGGAGCAACATCTCAAGACATCAGTGAGGAAGTTAAAGCTTGGTCGCAAATGGGTCTTCCAAATGGACAATGACCACAAGCATACTTCCAAAGTTGTGGCAAAATGGCTTAAGGACAACAAAGTCAAGGTATTAGAGTGGCCATCACAAATCTCTGACCTCAATCCTATAGAAAATGTGTGGGCAGAACTGAAAAAGCGTGTGCGAGCAAGGAGGCCTACAAACGTGACTCAGTTACACCAGCTCTGTCAGGAGGAATGGGTCCAAAATTTACCCAACTTATTGTGGGAAGCTTTTGGAAGGCTACCCAAAACGTTTGACTGAGTTGAAATGTATTTGGCTAAGGTGTATGTAAACTTCCGACTTCAACTGTATATCCCATTGTATGGGGAAATAACTGAGGCTTGTAGGCTATAATGTTGCCCTCTAGAGCAGAGTCAGCATGACTTGCACTCAGTAAAGTGGTAACATTGTAATTACCCACTTATGTCGAAGGATTCTGTATTCCTGTATCGATTAATAGAATCCATGTGTGTCAGTGTACGTGTACCGGTATGCGTGTCTCTATACATGTTTGTATGGTTATGTGTGTAATTCTCAATGTTATCTCTTTCCAGATGGCCAATGAAGCGAAGCCGTGTCCTTGTGACATCGGAGACAAGATGGAGTATGGAGGTGTTGGCCAGGAGGTCCAGATAGAACACATCAAGGCCTACGTGGTCAAGCCTCCCTCTGATTCAGACAAGGCCATCATCGTCATCCAGGACATCTATGGCTGGCAGCTACCCAACACCAGATACATGGCTGACATGCTGGCCTCCAATGGATACATGTACGTAACAATGCATACTTAACAATGCTGTTACTTACCATGTACTGTAATTCGTCAGTAAATGTCAGGTAAATAGTGAAAGAGACAGTAAAGTGTTACCAGTGTTCTCATGCTGGCTGTCTATCTCCCCCCAGTGCAGTGTGCCCTGACTTCTACGTTGGAAAGGAGCCATGGAGTCCATCACATGACTGGTCTACCTTTCAGCAGTGGCTGGAGGACAAGAAGCCCACCAATATCAACAAGTAATGCAAACATTCCCATTGGCAAAGAGTAGTCTCAGAGAGCCAGACTCCACTCCATTGGCCAGAGAGTAGTCTCAGAAAGCCAGACTCCACTCCATTGGCCAGAGAGTAGTCTCAGAAAGCCAGACTCCACTCCATTGGCCAGAGAGTAGTCTCAGAAAGCCAGACTCCACTCCATTGTCTCACATCTGTATACAGTATTAATCTCTATCAGCACACATCCACTGTTGGCCAGCAGAGAGTACTATCACAAAGCCAGACTCCACTCCATTGGCCAGCAGAGAGTACTATCACAAAGCCAAACTCCACTCCATTGGCCAGCAGAGAGTACTATCACAAAGCCAGACTCCACTCCATTGGCCAGCAGAGAGTACTATCACAAAGCCAGACTCCACTCCATTGGCCAGCAGAGAGTACTATCACAAAGCCAGACTCGTTAGTTTTATATTCTGGCAATAGAATGGAAACTAACTTTATCCCTCTGTTAACTTACAACTGAAATGTGCTTCCTGTACTACGCCAGTAACCCAACCCCTTCCTCCCCTCTCCCCCTGCTGTCTGTCTGTCTGTCCAGGGAGGTGGATGCAGTCCTGAGGTTCCTGAAGAGCCAGTGTGGGGCCCAGCGTATTGGGGCAGTGGGCTTCTGCTGGGGGGGTGTGGCCACCCACTACCTGGCTCTGCAGTACCCTGAGGTCAGGGCAGGGGTATCAGTCTATGGTAAGGGCAGGGGTCAGAGGGCTGTCCAATCAGAATACAGTAATAACCATGAGGTAGAGTGTCTACCAATGGTTGCAATCTAGGCTGACTACATTGCAGACACCTGCCAGATCTCACAACGTCTAGCTAACCACATCATGTGATGTGGTCCCGTGTAGCTCAGTTGGCAGAGCATGGCGCTTGTACGACAGTACGAAAAAATATGAAAATGTATGCACTCACGACTCTGGATAAGAGTATCTGCTAAATGACAAAAATGTCAATATATGATTTAGCAGACTGCGCAGTCGATAATATGAAACGCAACCATTGGTTGATGCAATGCAACAGCTGCAATGTAGTCGGTCTGGAACTCGACCGTTGTGCTTGCCGAGTAGGCTAGTAATGCTAATGGTGATTGGATGTGACGGCGTGTCTGCAGGAATCATCAGAGAGAGGGAGGACCGGTACGAACTGAAGAGCCCGACACTGTTTATCTTCGGAGAGAAGGATGAAGTCATCCCACTGGATCAGGTCTGGTATTATTATCAGTATATAAGAAAAAAGTCCATGTAGATCATACATATATTGGGAAACTATATTGAGCACCATTTATTGCAAGCCAGTGTGATCTCGAGTGAAATGAACCGTCATCATCAGCATCTGTCGGCTACTGGCCTTATATCACAATTTTAATGTCAGATCCAACCCCAAATGCTTTGAGTTGTGCTTCAACCATCCTATCACCATTTCATTCATTCCCTGCTGTTTTCTTCCAGGTGAGTGTCCTGGAGAAGAACCTGCAGGAGAAGTGTACACGTGTAGACTACCAGGTGAAGGTCTTCCCAGGCCAGACTCATGGCTTTGTTCACCGGAAGAGAGAGGACGTCAACTCCACAGACCAGCCCTGCATCCAGGAGGCGAGGACAGACATGTTCAACTGGTTACAGAAATACATGTAGAATATCTACAGTGCGGTAGTCTTATCATCGGCCGTCCATGGTTAAGTGAACGGAAAGGATAAAAAACACAAATCCAATTTTCATCACTACACCACCTAACGTTATTAAAAAGAAATAGCTCATGTAATTGCTCATCAGCTCTGAGGTTATTTCCACTTTTGTCCTTTCTGAATAGCAGCCTATCTGGTGATTATCATGTCCTTGATTTATCATGATCAAATTCAAGCTGATGGGGTGTTTTAATGTGGAATCTGCAGTTGCCATATTTGTAGTAGACTTTAGTTTTGTACCTTTTTCTTGCAGTACACTTATACCTTATCTGTTCATTGTATACATTATCTGTACATTTTGTATACGTGATCTCTTCATTGTATACATCTCTTAGTTTTATACATTTTGTACACATTATCTGTACATTTTGTATACATGATCTCTTTATTGTATACATTATCTGTACATTTTGTATACGTTATCTGTACATTTTGTATACATTGTATACACTATCAAATCAGACATTACATTTAACTGCAAAGTATCAATGTGCCTGCCATTATATAAATGCATGTATATTTTATTTATGATATGTTGTTTGTGTATAATATCATGTAATACCCAATGATATCAATAAAGATAGTATGCTTCATGTTAATGTATCATTGTAATCTCATGTGCATCATCAGAGGTTCCATCCGTGTGCTCAGAATCAGCAGTGTCATATCAGAACCACTAGAGGGCGACCTTATCCTGTATTCAGACTGGCTCTCAGTCTGCTCTCCAGACACAGGCGTTGTAGAGGTGTTTACTTTGGCTGACTAAGGCCACCACAAACAAAAACACAGGCCGAGCAGGAAGGGAGAGAGCTTCAACTAAAGCACAGGTTCACTTCTCCCACGGTCTTAAAGAACATCAGATAGTAACCTGCTATGACAATCTTTGGCACTTTGTATTTTGTTCTTCTGTCAGAAACATGTTAAATTCCCATCTATTTAGGGCTGACCCCATTTAGTAGACAATGTCAGTAGGCTGTTGGTTGACCGATATTTTTTTTGTAGGGCAGTTGCAATTTTTTTGGCCGAAAAAGGATGGCACGTCTTGATTGATGGCACACCAGTAGTACATTTACCATTAATTCCCATAATTTCTAATCTACAGTCGTGGTCAAAAGTTTTGAGAATGACACAGGCAAGGATATTGCTGCTAGTAAGATTGCACCTAAATCAACCATTTATCGGATAATCAAGAACTTCAAAGAGAGAGGTTCAATTGTTGTGAAGAAGGCATCAGGGCGCCCAAGAAAGTCCAGCAAACGCAAGGACCGTCTCCTAAAGTTGATTCAGCTGCGGGATCGGGGCACCACCAGTGCAGAGCTTGCTCAGGAATGGCAGCAGGCAGATGTGAGTGCATCTGCACGCACAGTGAGGCGAAGACTTTTGGAGGATGGCCTGGTGTCAAGAAGGGCAGCAAAGAAGCCACCTCTCCAGGAAATACATCAGGGACAGACTGATATTCTGCAAAAGGTACAGGGATTGGACTGCTGAGGACTGGGGTAAAGTCATTTTCTCTGATGAATCCCCTTTCCGATTGTTTGGGGCATCCGGAAAACACCTTGTCCGGAGAAGACAAGGTGAGCGCTACCATCAGTCCTGTGTCATGCCAACAGTAAAGCATCGTGAGACCATTCATGTGTGGGGTTGCTTCTCAGCCAAGGGAGTGGGCTCACTCACAATATTGCCTAAGAACACAGCCATGAATAAAGAATGGTACCAACACATCCTCAGAGAGCAACTTCTTCCAACCATCCAAGAACAGTTTGGTGACGACCAATACCTTTTCCAGCATGATGGAACACCTTGCCACAAGGCAAAAGTGATAACTAAGTGGCTCGGGGAACAAAACATTGACATTTTGGGTCCATGGCAAGGAAACTCCCCAGACCTTAATCCCATTGATAACTTGTGGTCAATCCTCAAGAGGCGGGTGGACAAACAAAAACCCACAAATTCTGACAAACTCCAAGCATTGATTATGCAAGAATGGGCTGCCATCAGTCAGGATGTGGCCCGGAAGTTAATTGACAGCATGCCAGGACGGATTGCAGAGGTCTTGAAAAAGAAGGGTCAACACTGCAAATATTGACTCTTTGCATAAACTTAATGTAATTGTGAATAAAAGCCTTTGACACTTATGGAATGCTTGTAATTATCCTTCAGTATACCATAGTAACATCTGACAAAAATATCTCATAACACTGAAGCAGCGAACTTTGTGAAGACCAATACTTGTGTCATTCTCAAAACTTTTGACCATGACTGTACAATGTTTGTTTGGTTGCCGTAATTTCTGTTAATGCATTCAATACATTATTATTCGTGTTTTTGTTTTTCATTGTCGGTGTGGACAAGTTGTTTGCACAACCTAGGCTACACTTGTGTGAGAAACAAGTTTTAGTATATTTCATTCCATTTACGAGTTGTCAATTTATTCATGGTGTTTTGTTTGGAGCGCTCCTGTCAATGTTGAGTAAGGACACGCACCTGATTATGCATAGAAGTAGGCCTGTAGGCTACCTGGCCTGAGTGCAGATGTGGCTTTTAAATGTGCCCATTTGGGGATCTGATAGTATTTCTGATTGTCTTAACTCACCACCACTGTGTAGCTTCTCAAAGTAATTTTTTCTTCACCTCAAACAGCAAGTAAACAAAGTCTATTGTCATTCTCAATGGATGTAAAAACAGTTCCTATTTGAAAAATCTTTCCAGCACTCTCCCTTTCGATAACCACTTAGCATGAAAAGGAAAAAAATGTCATGCTCTGATCTGGAAACTAAATAGGCCTACCTGATTACTTCTTATCCCTTGCACAAATAGCCAACAGCTGTGTCTGTTCAGAGCTCACTGGTGCAGAAAACTCTGAGGGTCCAGAATATTTTATACAATGTTGCAAGTTTGTTAGTGCAAGCTTCAGGCTGGACCAAGTTGATACAATGTTTTAAGTTCCTTGCAGACAGGCCATGCGTAGCCAATGTGATTTATTTTTAATCAGGATATTTTCTACATGCAGGCTGCAAAGTTTTTATTTGTTGGCTTTATGTAGGCCATTTTTACATATAGTAGTTGGCAATGGAAGTTACTTTTAGATTTGTATAATTTTCATTTAGATTTAGATATAATTTTTATTAATCACAATGATTGAGATATGTAGACTTTATTATAAAATAAATGAAACTGTTCCACAAAAATGTGCATATGAAAATCATAACTGGCACGCAGATCGGTAGAATTGGTAAGATAAATTGGCACTCCAAATGGGAAAGGTTGCTGACCCCTGGTGTAGCCTATTAGTGGGAACTTCAGAAGCATAATGGCTGAATCTGCAAAGGCCAGCAACAATGGGAGGTGGTGGTTCGGGAAGAGGTTTTTTTCTTCTGGTTAGGCTATCTGATCTCTGGTTCCCTCGAGTCATTTGTGTGTCTTTAATTATTTAATCACAGTGTGCTTGAAGCATCAGACAAGCTCAGTAGCCTACATATAGTTGATTTTATTAAAACACATAGGGTGTCTATATATGGACAAAAAAAATACACGTTTTAAAAACAGAAGACACTTGGTCGACCAAGATTTTTTAAAAGTTGGGGACAGCCCTACATCTATCGTCTCACTACGTTGTGAGTGTATATAAAAGAAGGGGAATGAGCATCATAGACTGCATCATTTCAGAATGAGGGGTGCTGTAGCTCTGCCTGTGTTGCTGTTCTGTCTGTCTGGGGTCATGGGGTCAGGGTCAGAGAGAATTACATCACAGTGAAGGGGGACTGAAGCTACAGAGACTACCCACAAACAGAAGACCTGCCGGACCACCATACCTGACATCTGGACAGAGCTGAATGAACTGAACTGCAGCTCCAGAAGAACAAGGTGGAGGAGCTGGAGAGAGAATGCATGTTATGTTAACACCAGAACAATTTATTCTTAGCTATATTATATATTTTAAAAGACAGCCAGTGAGAGTGAGGTGGAGGCGCTGAAGAGGTAACAGTATTTACTGTGTGATCACCCTCTAGTGGTTCTGTATTGAGCTAAAATGAAGAGTCAGAAGGTTAGAGCTTCCTCTATGTGCAAATCTACTTCTCATAACCTTTAATAAAGGCATTACAAAGGCTTAATGTTTGTCTGTCTCATCATTGACTTCATATTTACTTTCAGATGCTAGCATTAAACAACTATACCTGCTGCATCCTGATAAAGGTTGAGCTGATATGGCACACTGCTAGGTCTTATCAAATCAGTTGTAACTCCTGCACTGTCTGCTCGCTAGAGAGGCATAAGGTGAGACGAGAAACGGGTCATGAAAAATGGGCACATCTCCAAGAAACATTATCTAAAGGTTAAGTTTCAGTTTAATCCATAGCTTTCTGTAACTACAGTGTTGGAGGCCAGCCGGAGTGCCAGTGAGAAGGAGGCGGAGGTTCTGAAGAGAGAGACTGCAGGTAACACAGACATGACCCACTGGGCACAGACGTCAGTTCAACGTCTAGTTTTGATTTACATTTGGTTGAGTTTCCAACTAACATGACTTCAACAAAAACATGTCACTGTCATTGAATTTGGGCAAAAAAAAATAATTAAAAATGCTCTTACGTTGATGACTTTCTGCTAATTCAATCAGTTTTCCACATTGATTCAACGTCATCACATTGATTATGGGGTATGAAATGATGTGGAAACAACATTGATTCGACCAGTTTTTGCCCAGTGGGGAACTGGTAAATTGGTTTTCTGAACACTGCTAATGTAACTTTCTAAATGCACTGCATTAATATGTTGTCTTGTGTTTTTCTGTGTTCACAGACATACCAAAAGGTGGCCTTCTCGGTTGGTTTGACTGACTCAGGACCCGTCAATACACAAATCACACTGACCTACAGTAGAATCATCACATCACAACCCAACTGCAGGTAATCAACACACTAATCAACACACACTGAATCCAGCTACAGTCCAACATTATTAACAGTGTCTATGAGAGACAGACAGCGCTGATCTCTCTCTCTGCTTCCCCTCTGATGCAGATATCTTCACAGCACCAGTGAGAGGAGTCTACTACTTTAGGTTCACTGCCAGTCCACAATGGATTGGTGTATAACTTTACCAAAATGACCTGGTTATGTATAATAGGGAACACTGCCGGCGAAGTTGATGTGTACATAACTCATGGATCGTCTCTAGAGCTGAAGCAGGGGGATGTGGTCTACAGGAGTCTCCACCAAGACATGGGTCTCTATGATACTGTTGATAACCACAGCACCTTCAGTGGGCTCCATGCTATTATGCTGTGAAGAACTCAGCTTTATGGATGTGAGCAGTTCTGGGGTTAAAGACCCCAATCTCTTTAACCAATAAACTGCATTCTAAAAAATGCCAGACTTTCTTTTGTACTTCATATTTGTTACTATTATGGGGATGTTGATTTGGTTTTGGAAATGCACATCCTTGTGTGGCCAGTCCCCATTCATCCATAGGTCATTCATTCCACCAACCGGGTGCCTTTTGAGTAGTGTAACTTGGTGAAAGAAACACACACAAAACACGTTTGATTTTTACCTTATTTTAACGTTCTGCAATAAAGAGCACATGTTCAACTTAAAACACGTTTTCATCTCTTAATAACAAATACTATAGTAAGTGCCTGGTTGTTTAGCAACAAAACCAAGGCTTGCGCAACTATGGGGCAAACAGACACAGTTGGCTTAGAATGTGGACAACATGTAACCGATATTTCGTGTCCAATATTTATTGAAAACATAAGTCAATTTGTACAATGAGCACTTGTCTCTCAAATACATCGCTAGTTTTTGGTTAACTAGCTAGCGACTTTTAGCCATATTTGCACTAACGAGCCATTTACGATTCCCCACAACAGGCTGACTTCTGGTGACGTTGTCAGCTAACCTATCTATTAAGTGCCAAATAAAGTCACAGGGTTGACTGTAACTGGGTTAAATCCATCCCCTTGTGCCAGAGGGAATGGAAGTTTGTTGTGTGCAACAGGGAAGTGCTATTAAAAAGTAACTTTTGCAAAAATATTGTAATTGTTCAAACATTTCTAGCCTGTCTATCTATGGGTAACAGGGTTGACATGTTACGTTCGACCCGCTTGGTTTCCCACCACAAAACTACATAAAATGGCCCAAAACAGTAGAAACAGCTGATCTACTTTTACAATATGATTTGACAATTCAAGTTCAATGTTTTTTTTTTTTTTTAAATTAGAAAGTTTCACCACATTATAACGAGGGTTCAGTTCTCCTAACAGGGTCACGTTAAAATGAGGTACAGATGTAAATGAATCACTAATGACATGAAATAAATAATACTCTTCAGAATGACTGTCACTTTGACCACAAGATGGAGCCCCTGTCCTTGAATAACCTCCCTCCAGTCCCTTCTCAACGATTCAGTCACGTCTCAATGATGGTCTTTATTTGTACATCCAAAACAAACAAATCAACAATGGCCTGGAGCCGGCATGTCAATCTCACCATCAAAACTAGTGCTCTTGTTGCGTTAATAAATACATATGGAAAACGCTAGATGTAGAGTTCATACAGTAAGTAGGCTTTCATCATACACAGCATTTGACTGTACCACTATATTGGACTGTACCATTTAGCATTGGACTGTACCATTAGCATTGGACTGTACCATTTAGCATTGGACTGTACCATTTAGCATTGGACTGTCCCACTAGGATTGGACTGTACCACTAGGATTGGACTGTCCCACTAGGATTGGACTGTCCCACTAGGATTGGACTGTCCCACTAGGATTGGACTGTCCCACTAGGATTGGACTGTACCACTAGGATTGGACTGTACCACTAGGATTGGACTGTGCCATGTAGCATTTAGGGCCGGTTTCATCATTAGAACACTTTTGAAGTATGAGAATATCTGACCAACTTTGATTTTGGGTTGAACTATCCCTTTAAGCATCCTTTACATAAATGTATGAGTTAGGATGAATAACTTGTTTGATAGAATACAGACACAAAGACATCACTCATTACACCTGGTGCAGTGAGTTAGACATTAGGACATGACCATGGGACAGCACACACATGCTGATCAGCCACACGCTTTGGAGGGGATATCAGTTAGCAGCGTAGGCCACATAAAAAAAAAAAACCTGTTGGAGACCAGCAAAACACTGCAGTGAAATGAACAGCCATGTTTTAGTGTGTCAGTGTCTCCAATTATCACATCATGGCAATGTACATGATGTTTTAGTTTCCAACAGCCTGCGATGCCAGGTCTCTGATAAAAGAGGTTCAACCTCAGAATATCTCCTGGTTGAATGAAGGTTCAATCATTTAGAGAGTTAAAGGGGGTTGTTGTTCCTGTAAGGATGTCCACATAATTGACAGGGGGCCCGGGCCAATGGCATCAGGGCAGAGAGGAAAGAGCAGGAGTCAGTGTCCAACCACTGTTCACTGTTCCGAGCGGCAGTCCTGTGTTAAGAATGGTAACCAATAGTGAATCCCCAAGGGTGGTTAGGGAAGTTCCACTTCCTCTGTTGAAAATGTATTCGGCCACGTCCCAATCACCTTGAATGGCTTCCTTTCCTCCTTTCCTTTCCTTTCCTTTCCTTTCCTTTCCTTTCCTTTAGGAAGGACCACTGAAGGGTCAATGGACTAGGTAGGATACTACCACATTGCTTTCATCTGCCACACCATATTAATCCCACTCCGTTCCTTCCCCTGTCCACACTTTTCATTTCAGCTTCAGTTGTTTAGAAGGAAAGGAAGCTTTTTAAGACTGTTGGAACGAAGACCAGCACAGAGGACTCAGTGTGCTGTGACTGCCTAAGTAACTCCAACATGGCAGAGTTTTGAGAGAGGTTTGGGAAGCACTACTGGCCGGTAGTAGGTAGAAGGCCTACAGTTCACAGATCAGTAGTTTGGAGAAAGAGCAGCGGTTTTGGTCCAGTTCTGGATCCTCTGCTAGCTCCCCTACTCTTTACCCCCCTCTTCTGGTTGGGATGAAGACTCTGACGGGGCCTTGCTCTTTTCAGCATCCTCTCTTTCACCTGAGAGAGCGAGACAGAGAGAGACACAGAGACACAGAGACAGAGAGACACAGAGACAGAGAGACCGAGAGAGAGACCGAGAGAGAGACCGAGAGAGAAGAAGGGCAGTTGAGTCTGTGTGACTATGTGTGTGTGTGACTGTGTGTGTGTGTGTGACTGTGTGTGTGTGTGACTGTGTGTGTGTGTGTGACTGTGTGTGTGTTTGTGCACACGTCTACGTGTGTGCCGGTGTGCAGGCGTGTGTGAGTGCATGTATAAGCGTGTGTTCAATGCTCTGACCTGATTTGTTGATGTTGAGCTGTGCCAGGTCCTGTGATAGGTCGCTGGGTCCCTGTGCCTCAGGGGATTGTGGGATGTCGTGTACGGCGTTCCGTCGGCCGGTCCGCCGCGAAGCGATGAAGTCTTCATACGTCGCCTCCCCATCAGTCATAGCTGATACACCTCAACATAGCAGGGCCTGGGGGACAGGGGAACACACAGTATAAAACACACACACCCCCTCTGTGTGAGTGTGTGTATGTTCAATTTAAAATGTATGCCGAACAAAAACAATTTATTTAAAAGTTTAACATTACCATACATCTCTATGCACAAGGACTACTTTGAAAAATTGACACAGTAAATAATAAATAAATAAATAAATAACATTTACTGCAGATGCAAAGTTCGGTTACAGAATTAAAGTAAAATCTCCCTCAGTTTTATTCTGTTACCAAACTTTGCATCTGCAGTAAATGTTTATATATCTGCATAGTTCTTCCTGTAAATGTGTTTTTGTACAATTTTCAGTGGACATTTTTAAAAGTAGTCTTTTTGCATAGAGTTGTATAGTTTGTTAAACTTTGGTATACATTTTAAAGTGAAAAAACTGAGTATCAGCATAATTCCGTTACCATGGAATTGCCCTACACCAGGGATCATCAACTAGATTCAGCTACGGGACGAGTTTTTCTTGAGCGGATGGTCGGGGGGCCAGAACATAATTACAAACAATTTGTAGACTGCAAATTGACCGCAAGAAGCTCAAACAGATAGACTGTTTGACTAAAACATAATCATTTCAAACCTTGCTTACATTTGTATATAATCACATCATGTCTCTCTATTATGCGTGGGAATACTTGGGAACAGATGTATTAAATGACAATCACTTGGAGCTGATTTCCTGGTGTTTTTTTGTTGTTTTTTTTACAGTCTTTTATGTCCAACAATTACAATTACACACAAAAAATTTTTTATATATTTTTTTGCACAGAAAACTTGGGGGGGGGGGGGGGCAAATAAAACCACCAGTGGGCTAAATTCAGCCCGCCAGCTGGGGAACCCTGCCCTACACCAGCCATCTGCTGAGTGGAGCCAGACAGTGGTGTGTATTCATAGACGCCAAGGGAAACCAGGCTTCCCCAAATAAATTACCAAGAAATAAAAAAATGCATGTACCTTTCGTCACTCTGTGTTTCATACATTTCCTTCAATTCGCAAGAGAGGCTGAATGTATCTCAGCGGAGAAAGCCTCAGAGCGAGAGAAACAGCGCCCCTCTGTCTCTGTATGTGTAGCCCATCTATCTGATGCTGTGTGGTCAAAAAGAGAATGACATTGTTGCCGCCCGTAGCATTGAACGCAAGGGAAGCCAGCGAGCATTTGGACAACAAGAACAAAAAAAATGTGTACTGCATGACAGAGTCATTCAGGCAACATGAGAGGAGGATGGCATTGGCGTTTCTTTACAAGTAGGGTGATTCAACATGGACAGACAGCATATTTAGTTTACGTTGATTGGACTAAATTGTTTTTGGTATCTTTTAGTTGTCACTAGATTAGCCTAAGCATAGGTGATTAGATGTTAAAATGTTGACGTTGAAATGATGCTGGAATAGTGGAGGCAGGTCCTGTTTTCTTTGTGACTTTCGGAAACTCTCAGTGGTTCTAATCAATAGTTGTTTAGTTGTCCGAAAATGTCGGAAACATTACCTTGCTTGACCATGCAGTAGGTCATGTAACTGTTTGTTACATGCAATATGCTTTGTGGACTCCACCAGACAGAGGTTGCTCTCCGGTTTTGTGATGAAACAAAAGGTGAAGGTTGAATTTATTCTGCCACTGTGTCTTCCTATTGTCTTATATATCACGGTGTCAAGGCATATGAACTAACAGGTTATACAGCAAACAACGCAATCATCACAACACAAAGGTTGCAATTTGGCTTTTTTTTTTCTGGCTTGGCTTCCCCAGTGATTTTCCCCACTCACC